CTCAACCTAATGAGTGAATTTGGCAAAACAGTGGGATACAAGGTCAATATGAAGAAATCAAAGGCACTTTTGCACACCAATAATTAAATACCACAAAAAGAAATCAGGAAAAAAATTCCATTTGCTATAGCAACAAGAAAAATAAAATACCTAAGAATAAGCCTAAACAAAGAGGTTAAAGACCTATACTGAGAAAACTACACAACACTGAAGAAAGAAATTAAGAGAGACATAAAAAAATAGAGGCATATACCTTGTTCATTGGTTTGAAGAAAAAAGCATCATCAAAATGTCCATTCTACCCAAAGGGATTTATAGATTCAATGCAATCCTTATTAAAATACCAAGGACATACTTCACAGATACAGAACAAATACTTCAAAAATTTATATGGGACCATAAACAAACCTGAATAACCTCAGCAACTTTGAGAAAGAAGAACAAAGAGGGAGGGATCACAATTCCTGATTCAAAACCATATAACAAGCCACTGTAATGAAAACAGTCTGGTATGGCATAAGAATAGACATGTAGATCAATGGAACAGAATAGAGAGCCCAGAAATAAACCCAAGCCTCTATGAACAACTAATATTTGACAAAGGGGACAGGAAGATAAAATGGAGTAAAAATAGTCTCTTCAATAAATGGTATTGGGAGACCTGGACAGCTACACATAAAAAATGAAACTTGACTGCCAGCTTACAACATACACAAAAATAAGTCAAAATGGGTAAAAGACATAAATATAAGTTATGACACCATAAAAGTCCTAGAGAAGAACATAGGCAGGAAAATTTCAGATATTCCACACAACAATATTTTCACCAATATGTCCCCTGAAGAAAAGGACATAAAGAAAAGAATAAACAAATGGACTATATCAAAAGAAAAAGCTTCTGCATGGCTAAAGATAACATCATCAAAATGAAAAGGGAACCAACCATGTGGGAAAATATGTTTGCCAATGATACCTCAGACAAGAGTTTGATCTCCAAAATATGTAAAGAACTCACATGACTCTACTCTAGGAATACAAACAACCCAATTTAAAAAATGGGGAAAGGACCAGAACAGATACTTTTCCAAGGAGGACATACAGAGGTCCCACAGACATATGAAATGAAACTCAGCATCACTAGCCATCAGGGAGATGCAAATTAAAACCTCAATGAGATACCACTTCACAACTGTGAGAATGGCTATCATAAAAAATCAACAAAGAAGTGTCATAGAGGATGTGGAGAAAAGGGAACCCTAGTGCACTTTTGGGGGGAATGCAGACTGGTGAAGCCACTGTGGAAAATAGTTTAGAATTTCCTCAAAAAACTAAAAGTGGAACTGCCTTTTGACCTGGCAATTCCACTGCTGGGAATATATCCTAAGAATCCTGAAACACCAATTCAAAAGAACCTGTGCACCCCACAATTCATAGCAGCACAATTTACAATAGCCAAGTACTGGAAACAGCTTAAGTGCCCATCAGTAAATGAATGGATCAAAAAACCATGGTACATTTACACAATAGAATACTACTGAGCATAAAGGAAAAGGAACTCCTACCTTTTACGACAGCATAGATGGAACTGGAGAGCATTATTCTAAGTGAAATAAACTAGGCAGTGAAAGAAAAATACCATATGATCTCACCTGTAAGTGGAACCTAATCAAAAAAAGAAACAAGCAAGCAAAATATAACCAGAGACATGGACATAAAAAACAAATTGACATTAAGCAGAGGGGGAGGGACGAGGTGGATAATTGGGGAAAGAAGGGGAAGTGTCATCAAGCAACATCATAAAGAACCCATGGACAAAGACAACATGGGGTGTGAGGATTGAATGTGGGAGCTGGGGGTGGGTAGAGCAGAGAAGAGTAATGGGGGGAAATGGGGACAATTGTAATTGAACAACAATAAAAACAGGAAAACATTAAAAAATCAAATTATTAAAACAATACAATATGAAAATACTTTCTGGTCTAGTTTGCTCCAATAAGAAACTTCATTTTCCTATTACAGAAATAACAGTAATAATAATAATAGGCACATAGCATACTTTAATGTTGCTGCAAATAGATTAAATTGTTTTGGCACTTTCAAATCATTTTATTTCTTTGCCTTCTTTTTTTTAATCCATAGATTTTTAATGTTTGCTTTATTTTTAATTAAATGTATTGGGGGTTACATTTTTTAATAAAATTATACAGGTTTCAAGTGTACAAATCTATAATATATTATCTGTATATTGTATTGTGTATTTATCACCCAGAGTCAAATCTCCTTCACTTGAAAGAAAGAAATTTCTTTATTCAGTGTTGTGTAGTTTTCTGAGTACAGATCTTTTACCTCCTTGTTTAGGTTTATCCCTAACACTTTATTTTTCTTGTTGCTATAGCAAATGGAATTTTTTCCCAAAGTTCTCTTTTTTTGTTGTTAGTGTACAAAAATATCTTTGATTTCTGGGTAGTGACTTTCTATCCCCTGTTTTGCCAAATTTACTTATTAGGTGGAGTAGGGTTTTTTTTTTGGTGGAGACTATAGGGTTTTCAAAAAGTCAACAAAAGTAGTAAGAAAAAGTGCTACTTGTGCATAAATATGAAGAAAATCTATTTTTAAATATTTTTAAAGTTAATTTTTCCTTTAAGTATATTTGGTATACAGCATTATATCAGTTTTATTAGTTTTAGGTGTACAATATAGTGATTTGACATTTTTCTACTTTACAATGTGTTTGTTTCACTCATTCTAATTATTGTCTGTCACTGTGCAAACTTACCACAACATTTACAGATTTTCTTAAGAAAATGTCAAGTCTACTATCAGAATTCACACTGCTCTTATGCAACAAACACATCAGAGCAACTTTTGAAAAAAAAACTATAGTTTCTTAACTCAAAACCTATAGTTTGATTTGAACCTTTGTTAAAAACCAGTAATAATTTTATTTATTTTTAGAGATAGAGAAGAAGGGATAGAGACAGAGAGAAACGTCAGTTTGTTGTTCCACTTATTCACTGGTTGATTCCTATTGTGACCTGGAGATTATTATGCTAAGTAAAATAAGCCAGTCAGATAAAGAAAAATACCATACAATCTTACTTATGTGTGGAATCTAGTGAGCAAAATAAACTGATGAACAAAATAGAACCAGAAAGTGTCTGGATAAATGAAGGTGAAGAGATTAGCCAAAGAACATCTATGCACAGCCTATAGATGCAGATAACAGTGTGGTGAAAAGCCAGGGGGCTGGGGGATAGTGGGGCAAGGAAGGGGAACATAGGAAAAGAGGGGGAAATGGAGGACATATGCAATAGTTTCAACAATAAAAAAATAGTTATATATGTGTGTGTATGTGTGTGTTGTCTATTTCTGGACTTTATTCTGTTATATTGATCAATTTACCTATTTGAGGATAATGCCACCCTGCATTGGTAACTGCAGCTTTATAAATATTAAAATGAGGTAGTGTCCTCTAACATAGTTCTTTTCTAAAACTATTTTGATGATTCTGGGTCCTTTGTGTTTTTATATGAATGTAAGAATCAAGTTGTCATTTTGCATACACACACACAGGGCACCTGCAGGGGTTCTGAGTGAGGTTGCATCGAATCTCTGGGTCAATTTCAGCATATTCAACATTTGAAAAATATTGAGTCCAGTCTATGAACACTATATCTGAACTATTGACAAATTTTATTTCTTCATTTGATTATAGACACAGCCAATAATATGATGGTTACCCGAAGGAAATGGTAGTAGAAGGGTAAGAAGGTAAATAGTGTCAAATATATGGTAACAATCTTTATTTGGGTGGTGAACATAATATATAGATGATGTATCATACAATTGTACACTTGAAACCTATATAATTTTATTAACCAATGTTACCCCAATAAATTTAATAATATAAAAGAGACCCAACTTCAAAACTTTTTTCTTAATACACAAGAATGATGCATTTTTTGGTTTACAAGCAAATCTATGATTAAAGAATAAGAAAGAAAAGAAAAGAGAAAGAAAGAAAGAAAGAAAGAAAGAAAGAAAGAGAAAGAAAGAAAGAAAGAGAAGGGAGGAAGGGAGGAAGGGAGGAAGGGAGGAAGGGAGGAAGGAAGGAAGGAAGGAAGGAAGGAAGGAAGGAAGGAAGGAAGGAAGGAAGGAAGGAAGGAAGGAAGGAAGGAAGGAAAGGAGGACAGAAACCAAGCAAACCACGTGGACATACTCCTGAAAAGAGTGACACCTCCTCATGAAAAGCTTCAGGCAGGTCCTTCAGGAGGTATTCCAGAAGGTCTTGTTATCACAAATAACAGCTGCATGTGTGTTATTGTCCCTGAAGATATTTCAATGGAATGAGATATGCAGGTGGCAGACAGTGAGTGATATTGATAATCCTGACTCTGTGTAGGCCTAGGCTTCTGTGTCTGTTTGTGTCTTAGTTTTTAACTTAAGAAGTTAAAAAATGAGAAAAAATTTAAATAGAATAAAAGCTTATAAAATAGACAAACAACATGTATGAATGACCCACAGACATGGACAACAGTGTGGGAATTGACTGTGGGGGCAGGAGTATGATGGCAGAGGAGGGGAAAGGAGAAAAAATTGGGACAACTGTAATAGAATAATAATAAAAATCATTCAATAAAAATAAATAAATAAAAAGATATAAAGAAAATTTTTTGTACAGCTATACAATGGTTTTTGTGTTTTAAGCTAACTGTTATTATAAAAATATCAAAAAGTTTTTTAAAGCTTAAAAAGTTTATAAATTAGAAACATTACAGTAAGCTAAAGTTAATTTATTATTAAAGAAAAATAACTTATAAATTTAGTGTAGCCTAAGGATACAGTGTTTATAAAGTCTACAGTGGTGCACAATAATGTCCCAGACCTTCACATTTCACTCCTCACTCCCTCACTGGCTCATTCAGAGCACTTTCAGTCCTGCAAGCTCCATTCATAGTAAGCATCATATATAGGAATACCAATTTTTTAATGCTGTATTTTCACTGTACCTTTTCCATGTTTAAATATGCAAATAATTACCATTGTGCTACAATTAATTGCCTACAAGATTCAGTATAGTAACATGCTGTACAAGTTTGCCTAGGAGCAATAGGTTATACCATATAGCTTAGGTGTGTAGTTAGGCTATATCATCTAGGATTGTGTAAGTGCCCTGTGATGTTCACATATTGACGAAATCACCTGACAATGCATTTTTACAATGCATCCTCTTTTTAAATGACACATGACTGTACTTAGATCCAGTGTAATAAACCTGAGCATGTACCTAATTAAGTTGGAGAGCTTCCCTCCCAAAGTGGTGAAATTGCAGACCCGTACCAGGAGAGACCTGGATGCCTAAGGTAGCTGGGGGCATAAGGATGCACTGGAAGACAATTATATGTTTTTCAGACATTCAGAATTAATGCACTGAGCTGGCTGGGGTTACTGTGGTTTTGATTGTATGCAGGATAGACCTTTGATGTTATATGAAATTATGACCATGTTATTTTCTTTATTTGGAGACCAAGTAAGGTTTAAGAAAATGTTCATGAGTGTCAGATAGACAAGGTCTAGACTTGATATGGTTAATTTTTTGTTATCAGTTTGACTAGGGTGTAGGGTATGCAAATTAACATTATTTCTATGAGAGTGTTTCCAGATGCAATTAGCATTTGAGTTTGTTCCTAAATCAAACATATTGCCCCCCCAACCCAGTGTGGGTGAATATCATCCAGTCCCTTGAAAATCTAAGTAGAACCAAAAGGTAGAAAAAAGCAGGTAGGGATTTGCTCTCTCCTACTGCCCTCAACCGCAACTTACACAATCAGTTCCCTGGTTCTCAGAATGGTATCAATGACTTTGTTAGTCATTGGTTCTCAGAATGGTCTCCAGCTTGCATAGCAGAATGAGGGATTTCTTAGCCTGCATCATGAAGTGAGACAGTTCCTTAGAATAAATCTCCTATTAGTTCTGATTCTCTGGAGCACCGTGAATAATATAGGCAGCATATCCATATTTTGGATATAGTGATATTTTCTTATGAATTGGCTCTGTTTATGAAACATCCCATTTTATCAATATTAATGCCTCTTTAAGTAAAGTCTAGTGTATCTACCATTAGTCTAACTAGAAGTTACGTTGTATGATTAATATGCCCATGTTGTATAGTTTCTATTCTGTTTCTTTGTATTAAAAACATATCTAACTTAATCAGCATGTAATTTTATTAATCAAATGAAAATTAGCTTTAAAAAGGGTTTGCCCTTGTAAATTCAATATAATTACTGATATCTACCTTCTTATTACTGTTTCACCTTTTGATTGACCTATGTTTTGTTCCTTGAATTCCTTTTACATGCTTTCATTTGGGGGAATAGACTATTTTATTTTTCCATTTTACCTCTATCGATTATTTTGTTATGTTTAATTATTATTTTAGATGTTACCCTACAGATGACAATATTTATCTTACCTTAAGTAATTAGTTTTCTGATGATAATAACTTTGAATATTTTAGCTTAATTTACCTCTTCTTACTTTTGTGTTACTGTCATGCATTTCAACTCTACATGTCTCAAATTCTTACTGGATCTATTAGTTTTTAACACTGTTATCATTAAGTCAAAATTCATTTAGTTTGTCTTATTATTACCATTGCCCTTTTTGCATCTCTGTGTTGCCTTCTGATACTTTTTAATAACAAAGTTGTTGACAATACACTTTTTAGCTACACATTTATTTTAGTACAAATATTTTATTTGAATACTGAATTCTAGATTATTGGTGGAGTGTTATTACATATACATTTTAAAATATATTTTATTGATTGTACTATTTATAGTTGTCCCATTCCCCCCCTATATTCCTTTCCACTCTGCACACCCCTTCCCACCTGCATTCCCTCACTTTTAGTTCATGTCCTTGGGTCATACATATAAGTTCTTTGGCTTCTCCATTTCCTATACTATTCTTAACCTCCCCCTGTCTATTTTCTATCTACCATTTATGCTACTTATTCCCTGTACCTTTTCCCTATTTCTTCCCCTCCCCTCCCCCACTGATAACCCTCCATGTGATCTCCATTTCTGTGATCTGTTCCTGTTCTAGTTGTTTGCTTAGTTTTTGTTTTTGCTTTTTTAGGTTCAGTTGATGATAGTTGTGAGTTTGTTGTTTGTGAGTTTGTTGTGAGTTTGTCATTTTACTATTCATATTTTTTATCTTCTTTTTCTTAGATAAGGTCCTTTAACATTTTATATAATAATGGCTTGGTGATGATGAACTCCCTTAACTTATCTGGGGGAAGCACTATATCTGCCCTTCCATTCTAAATGATAGCTTTGCTGGATAGAGTAATATTGGATAGCGTTGTTCTTGCCTTTCATGACTTCAAATACTTTTTTCCAGCCCCTTCTTGCCTGTGAGATTTCTTTTGAGAAATCAGCTGATAGTCTTATGGGAACTCCTTTGTAGGGAACTGTGTCCTTTTCTCTTGCTGCTTTTAGGATTCTCTCCATATCTTTAATCTTGAGTAATGTAATTATGATGTGCATTGGTGTGTCTTCCTTGGGTGCAACTTCTTTGGGACTCTCTGAGCTTCCTATAAAGCATTGTTATCATAGCAAGTAACAGCTCCATGTATGTTATTGGAGTTTCAAAAATTCATAACCATTATTCTCTTCATCTAAAGCTTTGGCACATTTCTCTCTCTCTTTTGTTTCCTAGGCCTGATTTCATTTTGTCTTATTATTTTACCAAGTCCCATAGTAAAGAAATGTGTTCTGTGTATTTTTTATAAAAATAATTCTAGATATTCTCCTAACCAATTTTCCAGTATTTAATCCCCTATTCTGTTTCAATTATTGTGTAAATATTTCTTGAATTCTCAATACCAATTATTTTATATCATTATTTTCCATTTAAATGAAAATATTAGTTCTAATTGTTTCACAAACTGTGTGCTAAATATATGTAGATGTTCTTGAGCTTCTTTCTATTTCTGTTATTTTCATGGTTTTTGGTCATTTGAACCTTTTTGGGTACACTTGTGAATTTTTTACTATATACTCAAATGTTTACTATATACTCATATATGCAAATGTTAAAGGCTCTGAATGATGGTTTATTTGTACAAATAAGATTTGATTTAATCTGGCAAACAGATAAAGGCAGACATCCTTGACCAAAAGAAGAAATGAGATTATTCATGTTTTTATTTTATTACTATTTTTTTAGAAATGATCAATTCATTATGCTTATTCTTAGGGTATATAATATTAGTGATCTCAACTAAAAGTCTAAGTATTTACTCAGGCTCTTTCATTTAGGCAAATCTTAGTTGTCAATTTTTGTCTTTAGATACTAGAGGGCAAGAATTTCTTCTTAGATTCTTCATCAGTTTAGCTGCTGCTTTGTAATTGTGACCTAAGGATTTCATTACTTGATACTTAGGACTTATCAAATGTGTTTGAGGGGTGGGGTGGGGACTCTGCAAAATGTCAGGCCTGTTAATCTCCAATTCCCTTTTATACAGAATATTTTTCCATCTAAGAAAAGTCCTGGTTGCACTGATAGGTGTGGATTTCACTTTGCATCTCCCTGGTTCCATGAGAAAGAAGAAAGCAAAGCTCTACCATTTTCTGCAGGGATATTTATAATACATTACATAAGAGAGAACAAGAAAAGTTGTGGAGAATATGGTTCCTTCTCATAAGTATCCTTCTCCCCAAGATTGGATTTTCAAATCCCAGCTGCTATTTTGCTCTCTAATGACATCATATATTTTTTGTTCATGTTTTGGGAGCACATTGTTTTTCAATGTCTTTTTAAGGATAAATTTACCCAGTTTCTGGTAATACAAATACCTTGTATTATGATTATACTGTTGTCAAAAGTAAAATGACAAACTAAAACAAAACAGCTGTTGGTGCATTATTAATAACTAAAATCCTGATTTATTTGTATTTTATTAGTTTTTCACTGACTTCTTTTTTTTCAATTACAGGTTCTAATCTAGAATACTACTTTGTATTTACCCATGAAGTCTCCTTAGTTTTCTCTGGTCTTGATCATTTCATTGTCTTTTCTTGTTTTTTATGTACTTAGTATGGAGGAATACTTGTCATGAATTTTTAAGAGTTTTCCTCAATTTGAATTTTTCTCTCTCTTTTTTTAAAGAAATAGATTAAGTCTATGTATTTTGGGTAAGAATACAAGAATGATAAAAAATGTTCTAGTCACATCTTATTAGGGGTAAATGACATCAACATGATTTATAATTATTAATATATTCCTTGATAACTTGGTTAGGGTAAACTTTTCATGTAAAAGTATTATTTTTTTCTATTATAATTTCTTCTTAGAAGTAATTCACTAAGATAGTCTACATCTAAAGAATAGAGAGGGATAAATAAGTTCCACTTGCTGAAGAAGGTATCTTCGTATATTTTTTTGGAATTCTTCCATAAGGAAGATTTGTTCCTTCTCCCACATTTATTTATATCACTACAAACTCATGTGAATAAATTTTACATTTCCTTTCAGACTCCCTAATAATTTGAAGAGTACTTCTAATTTGAAATTACTTGAATAAATTTCAAACATTTTATTACCCAGTGATTTAGAATATATATTTCAAAATAACCTGTGTTTACTTCAAAAACTATTATATCACTCCACATAAAGTGCAAGGAAGTTATGATCATATATTTCTAACTCATTCCTCTCATCCATATGGCATTTTTGCCATATTTTTCACTTTATGGTAAACACTCAACACATTATTATAATCACTGTCTCAGTCACTGTTATTTTAGAGCAACTAAAATGAGGAAGGAGATTGTATTTTACCTCCCTTTATTCCATTTTTGAAGCTCTTAATTTCTTTGAGAAATTTTAATTTTTTTATTTATACTATTTTTTCAATATTTTTATTGTTGTTCAAGTACAGTTGTCTCAATTTTCCTCCCACTACTCCCTGCTGCCCCACCTATCCCCACCTCCTGCCCTCAATCTTACCCCTCTTTGGCTTTGTCCATGGGTCCTTTATACATGTTCCTTGATGACCCTTCCCTTTCTTTCCCCCATTATCCTCCTCCCCCATCCCTCTGGTTAGTCAGTTTGTTCTTTATTTCAATGTGTCCGGTTATATTTTGCTTGCTTATTTGTTTTGTTTATTAGATTCCACTTATAGGTGAGATCATATGGTATTTGTCTTTCACCACCTGTTTTGTCAATAGGAAATTCTTTAACATTTCTTTACAGGCAGATTTATTAGCAATACAGTCATTCAGTTTTGGTTTGAGTTTTTATTTTTCTTTCTTTTTTTGTATGTAGAATTTTAGATTGTGACTGCATTATCTTTTTGCTTGTATTGCTTCTGTGAGAAGTCAGGACAAATAGCTATTCATGTTCATATGTAGTTAATATGTTTTTCCCCTTGAATGCCTTAATGATTTACTGTTTGCCTTATTATTCTATCAGTTTTAAATTGATATGCCTAGTTGTTTCCCTCTTCTTGTGTTCTCTGAGCCTCTTCAGTCTACGTTTTGGTATTCTCAATACTTTTGGAACATTATTAGCCATTTTACTCACTCTCACAATTTAGAATTAGGTGTGTGTCTTTTTCTTTCACCAGACTAGGGAAGTTTTTCATCATTATATCTTCAGATAGGTTCTAGATCCCTTGCTCATCTCTTCTCCTTTTGGTATTCCCATGATGCAGATGTTGTTACACTTCAGGTTGTCCCAAAAGTTTCTTACTTAAGCTCTCCTCATTCTTTGTAATTCTTTTTCCTTTTTGCTGTTCTGCTTGGGTGTTTTTTCTACTTTGTCTTCCAAATCACTGATTTGATGTTCTACTTCATCTAACCTACTGTTTATCCCTTCCAGTCTACTATATACACTAGATATTGCATTCTTTATTTCTGACTGGTCCTTTTTTATTGCTTCTACATTTCTTTCATGCTGTTGAATATCCTCATAATCATTACTCTAAGCTCCACATCTGATAAATTGCTGGCCTCCTTTTCATTTAGTTCTTCTGGAGGATTCTCTTTTTCTTTCATTTGGATCCTGTTTCTTTGTCTTCCTACTTTGGCTGCCTCTTTTTGTTTGTTTCTGTGCATTAGGTAGATCTGCAAAGACTCCAGTGCAAGCCTTTGTCTCACACTTGTGACTGGCCCTGGTCAATGTGTTTGGAGTTATCAGCAATCCACAGCATGTGGCTCCCTCTGCCAGGCCTGTTTGTGTGCAGAAACAATCTGGCTGTACATCAAGGCTGATTTTACTATCACAGAGCTGGGGGAGGATCAACTAATGTCTCAGAACTCCCATAGACCTGATTTAATTGTTAAACTTAACCACTGATATAGCCTCATGGTGTACTGAGAAGCCCTGCTGAAGCTCCACAGGGTTGGTCAGAGTTATTCCTGAAGACAGGACTATTGCTTCCCCTCAGGCTGATGCCACTTACAGGGGAATGCTCTGCCTGAGAAAGACAGCCTCTTCAGTATAGGGAATGAGTCAGCACAGAGATCCTAGTGGTTGTTCCTTCAGTTCTCTCCCCAGAGCCACCAAACCCAGTCTCTAGAACAGGTATTTTAAGCAAACTCATTCTGGTTGTCACATAACAGAATCAAAATTAATCAGAATATGAAGAAAGGCTTTGATTTTTTATAAATTGTCTCAAAATTTTATATATACACATTTTTTCTCATTTCCTTGCCCTTAAAATTTCTAAAAGGTTAGATGTTTTAGAATGATTGTCTGTTTTCTCAAAATGGATTAAAAAATTTACCAAAATTATCAATAGAAGCCCTGGCTGGTGTAGCTCAGTGGATTGAGCTTGGGCTGCGAACCAAAGTGTCGCAGGTTCAATTCCCAGTCAGGGTACATACTTGGGTTGCAGGCCATGACCCCCAGCAACTGCACATTGATGTTTCTCTCTCTCTCCCTGTCTCTCTCTCTCTCCCCCTTCCTTCCCTCTCTAAAAATAAATAAGTAAATTTTTTTAAAAAATTATCAGTAGAAACATAACTTGTTTAAATAATCATTTTTCCTGAAATCATATTCATGATCCAAATATACTTTAAGATCCTGTTTATTCAACAAATGCTACAAAAATCTACATAGTTATTTTGTCAGTCACATTGTATATGTAGTTTTTTTCCTGCCTTTTATTGTACTTCTTGAAATAGTATTTTTCAAATATTTCTTTTTTCAAATTTTCACCCTAGGATATGTTTATTGATTAATTTTTTGAGAGAGAGGAAGGGAGAAAGAGAGAAAGAAACATGAATGTGAGAGAGAAACATTGACTGGTTGCCTCCCATATGTGCCCTGACTAGGGATCAACCCACAACCTAGGTATGTGCCCTGATGGGGATCGAACCTGCAACTTTTTGGTGTATAGGATGACACTCCAACCAACTGTGCCACATATCCAGGGCTCAAATATAACGTTTAAAAATAACTAGTTTATATAAAATGTCCTTTAAAACAACAATTATATTTTTAATAAACAAACATTTTCAAAGATGAGCATCCACACTATTGTAAGTCTGTTATAATTTCCTTTTAATTATTTTAAATAGAATTTGCACAAATGAATTGGTAGTATTACAAAAAATATAAATGAATATTCATTTTAAGTAGGTTATAAATGATTGCAAAAAAAGTATAGTAATAAACTTTGTATTGCATGCTACATTAAATGTAATTCCAATGAAATATTTTAAAGTCTTGACCAACTAGAATTGAATAACAAAAAATATAGAGTAAAAGTTTAAACTCAATTTCTTTTACATATCCAGAGGAAAATAAAGTGAGATCAGAAAAAAAGTCTATTAAAAAATAGAGAAAATTAAGCCCTGGCTGGCATAGCTCAGTAGACTGAGCACGGGCTGCAAACCAAAGTGTCACAGGTTTTATTCCCAGTCAGAGTACATGCCTGGGTTGCAGGCCATGACCCCCAGCAACCGCACATTAATGTTTCTCTCTCTCTCTATCTCCCTCCCCTCCCACTCTAAAAATAAATAAAAATGAAATCTTAAAAAAAATAGAGAAAATTAATGTCTGTAGAACAATAATTTCTATGAAAATAAAGCTTAAAAGACATAAAGGTAAATATCATAGAAATCAATGGTAAAAAAGGAGAAATTGTGTATTGGAAATTACTGTTGTACACACTGGTGTTATTAAGGACTCCTTTGTTCATTTTCATTATATAGATAGTGCAATGATATATTCACTTTTTTGAGAAAATATTTACCCTGTGGATCATAATCACGAAAGCTTTTTTCACTTGTTGGTTCCGTAAAGTGTAGATGAAAGGGTTCAAAAGTGGTGCAACTGAGGTATTCAGAACTGCAATTCCCTTAGAAAAAGCTACTCTTTGTTTGAATGATGGTTTAACATACATAAAAATGCAACTGCCGTAAGAAAGAGATATCACAATCACATGAGAGGAACATGTTGAAAAAGCTTTCTTCCTCTGACTAGTTGAAGGGATTTTTAGAATGGTCAAGGCAATACAAGTATATGATGTTATCACCATTATCAATGTGACCACAAGTGTCACAAACGCTAAAATGAATGCCATCATTTCCAGATTCTGTGTGTCTGTGCAGGAGATCTGGAGGAGAGGAGTAGTGTCACAGTAGAAATGCTCAATAATATTGGAGGCACAGAATTCTAAGTCCAGGCCCATGATGAGTGCTGGAAAGATGATTAAAAACCCAGCAAGCCAACAACTGAGGACAAGCTGTATGCAGATTTTACTGTTCATGATGGTTGTGTAATGCAGGGGCTTGCAGATGGCAACATAGCGGTCATAAGACATAGCTGCCAGCAAGTAGAACTCAGATGCCCCAAAAAGGAAAGCAAAAAACACTTGAGTGACACAACAATTATAGGAAATGGTTTTGTCCCCTGTTGCCATAATAACCAGCAATTTAGGAATGCATGTAGTAGTATAGGAAATTTCTAAAAAGGAAAAATTACGAAGGAAAAAATACATGGGGGTCTTGAGGTGAATATCCACCAGGCTGAGTGTGATGATGGTCAGATTGCCAGTGATGCTTAGCAAGTAAATGAGAAGCAGGAAGATAAATAACACAATTTTCCACTGTGGGTCATCAGTCAAACCTGCTAGGATAAACACTGTCACTCTTGTACGGTTTTCCATTACTGTTCTCTGACATTTGCTATGTCTGAATAGGAAAAAAAGAAAGAAAATTATGATCTCGATGGAAGAATAACTAGTGTTGAAAGTAAAGTTAGCAAAGTGATGTTTCAGGTAGAATGATACAATGCTCGTATTTATGTTTTAAAGATGTGTTTGCCAGGAAAAAAATAGTTGAAACTTTAGTTTGCAATTGTACTACTAGAGAATAATCTGTATAGCAATAGTAATTGTTGATTGTTTTTATGTGAGTAAATTAGAGGGATTAGAGCAAGCATAGAAAAATGCTTTTTCTCTCCTGTTAATATGGAAGAGTTGGGGTGACTTGGCATTTCCTGTCCAAATAAAGATATTTGCACACTAGAACCAAAATGATGTCTTTAGAAGCTCATGTTTTGCCTTATATATGCACATACCACAAACCTAGCCAAAATCAATAAATAGAACTGATACGCATTTTACTATTTTATTTAACCAATCAGATTCAAATGCCTGATTCTTGTCTCATCTGCTTTCATGGATAATTTGATCCAATTTCAGATAAGTGATTAGGAGGAATTGGAAAAAATTTATTTTCTGTCTTCAGTAGTATTTATATCCCCTCAATCTCTGTTACAATCCAGCACTTCCCCTTTTGTACCCCCAAACAAAGGCAAGAATAGTCTGGCAATATCAGGTTATAATTTTGAGAATGGACAAGGTAGAATAAAGTGAAAAGTGAGAATAAGTAATATATTTATGAAGCATAGGGAAATATATAAATATGGATTCTTGAAATTGTATGAGATGGAAAAAGTAAAGACAAAGATAAAGACAAAGATAAAGCTTTATGGAAGCCTAGTGAGGTAAGGAAAGTTTTTGAGAGACAGGGTAGTGAGTTTGAGGAGAAAAATGAAATATTAAAAATATATGTTAGTAGGTAAAAACTATAAGGAGGAAATATTTACCAGTGAAACTTCTCTCCATCTGCTTGCATTTCTTATCTTTTTGTTCTTTGTTTAAAATACAGACTGAAAACATGAAGAGTTATGAGATCAACATAGCCTAAAACAGAAGAAAATTATTTGCTAAATTTCAGACACATAATGAATCACAGAATAGTGTGACACAAATTTTAAGAGCTATATATTTTATCGTCATGAGAATATTCAAATGTCTGGCTAACACACAATTGAAGGAATACTATAGATAGCTATTCTCAACATGAAGCATATATTGAGACAGATTGTTCTGGTTTGTACAGCTAATAAATTGAACATCAGCATTGATTGAAAGAGTGTATTTTCTAAAGTTGTCCTCTTAAAAGGACAACATCTTATACAAACAATTACAGACCAGATTATGGTATATTAGTTTAAAATTAAAAAGTTTAATGATATCTCCAAGGAAAATTTCCTTTCTCAATATTTTCATCATCAAACACATAAAATGGTTAAGGTCTTATGATGGTATTACATAAAGCAATGTTTGCTGTATTGAGGATACCAAAAAAATTATTTCTAATCCCTAAACCATGCATTATCATTAAAAAGGTATATAAAGAAATAAAATAAACTTATGAGAACAAACAAAAGTTGGCTCCAATAATATCTAGATGAATTTACAGGAGGAAATTGGATTCAAAGAAGTTTCAGGATATTAAAAAAAAGAAAGAGAAAGTATTTCTTGGAAAGGAAGCAGGATGGACAGAGATAAAGTGGAGTACACACATGATTTCCTTAAAGATAATGATTAGAGTTTTATTTTAAAAATTATTTATATTTAATATATAGATATTAATGAGTGAAAACAAATTAGTTTTTCCCCTGGACATTCCTTTCACATTCAGATAATTGCAAGCCAACCTATTACAAGTGTTTTCCTCATTTATACAACTTACCATAATAGCAACAGTGTAGAAAGGCATATATTTAAATCTCCCAAATAAAAATTTGGTGATATCTAATACTATAAAATAACAAATGTGCATTGTATTAAGCCACCAAGTTTGCTGTAATTTGTTACAATAACAATAGAAAATGAATATAAAAATTTTATGATGTCAAATCATTTCTCAGTCAAATTTCAACAATTGTATTCACCAACTAACACCCAACACACACTGTGAAATAAACAACAAAATTTATCAGATGAAACCATTAGAAGTCAGGATTATGAATGCAAGTATGATTACCTATATTAGATACTAGCAATACTAGATAGATCCCAAAAAGAAAAAGGATTTCAGCACTAAACTTTCATTACAGTCTATTGTCTCTTTTCACCATTTTCCCTAAGTTAAAATTTAAAAGGTTGGAGGAAATGAAGTTAAAGGTAAAAATAGTACAAATGTGAGATTAAATGTCAGGAAATACTGTCATTACATTTTAGAGAAATTGTTTTCATCTTTTTTAGTTTACCAAGAACACTTGGAAACTCAAACACCTTTTCAAATAGACATACACACAGATTTATCCAGACAAATCACATCTGCCTCAGTATTTAGATCTTTTATATCAAGCTGAATAGAGGATACCAATTTCCATTTTTCAAATGGATTTTCTCATATTCTACAATCTATACCTGTTTTGTATCACCTACTTTGTAAATGGTTTGATTAGCTATTTTATTACAGATTTTAGGATAATGTGTTAAATTTTCCCATTATGTACCGAATACTCTAAGTATTACACACTCTTTCATATAAAATTAATCAACACTCGATCCCATGGAGTATTTATGCTTTCTGTGCTCTAAAGGAAAATACCTAGAGATTACGAAGACTTCTCATGAGAATATGAGATCCATGAACATGATTTCCCAAAGCAAACCAATTTATATGTTATACAAGTGTTTTCCCCAGGCACTAAATTACTTTAAAAAATGAAAAAATAAATTTTTAAAAAACAAGTTTTTATGTCTCAAGATAACTCAGTATACATCTCCCTAATATACGTGTGACCTCCCACACATTCATGTCTTAAAATCTCTGATACATACAAAAATATTTGAAAGAAAAAGAAGTTTATTTTATTTCATTTCACAAAATGGTCTCCAGTTCTATTCATGCCAGGTGGGGAAAGACAAATACCATATGATCTCACCTTTTAAGTGGATCCTAATCAACAAAACAAACAACAAGCAAAATATAACCAGAGACATTGAAGTAAAGAACAAACTGACAGTAATCAGAGGAGGGGTGAAAGGAGATAATGGGGGGGAAGGGAGGAAGAGTTTTCAGAAAAACTATAAAGGACACATGGACAAAACCAAGGGGGGGGCGACCAGGGGAGGGAGGTGGGGATGGCTGGGGTAGGGAGAAAATGCAGACAACTGCACTTGAACAACATCAATAAGTTAATTAATTAATCAATTGATTAATTAAAAAGAATAACCTAAAAAATAAAGAAGTTTATTTTAGTCAGTAATAAAATGTGGGACTATGAGATGGACAACTTAGCCTGGTAGAGAATATCATATCTCAGGCTAAATGTACCATTATTTTGTAGTTCTCTAGACACAGCTAACATTTTATTTTTACATGCCATTTGTTTCTATACTGAAAGCTGTGTTCCTCAGGAAAGTGATATTGTCTAAAGGATCTTAAACTGATTATTTTATAACTACACATTCTCCATTACTTTGTTGTTAATGGAATATTCATCTATCTCTTTCTGCAGCTATCCTTCCTTGCTAATGAAGACATGAGAATATCTATTCTTCCCAAAGGATTCTGCCCAAAAGGATATAAATGGAGATAATTTGTGCAATTTCCAGGGATTACGTTTTGATAAAATGTGTCTGACCTCCTCTTCCTTTTTACTCCCTGTCATTGTTGAAATGGAGATGGGATGATAAGCCATCCTGAACCATGACTATGGGCCATTACACTAATAATGGCAAATCAAAAAGAGCAAACACACGCAGGTTCCTGACACCATGACAGGTTATACCATCAAAGAAACCCTAAGGATGTACAGAAGGATTTTTTTTCTGTTTTCATTTTTGTATTTTTAATGAGTTGATATTTTTACATTTCTTTTTTAATTTTTTTTGTTGTTCAGTTACAGTTGTCCCAATTTTTCCCCTTTTGCTCTCTACTGCTGCACCCACCCCTGACTCCCACATTTAATCCTCACCCTGTTGTCCATGTCCATGTGTCATTTATACATGTTCCTTGACTTGCCCCTTCCCCGTCTTTCCCCCATTATCCCCATCCACTCACCCCTCAGGTCACTGCCAAGTTTGTTCTTTATTTCCATGTTTCTGGTTCTATTTTGCTCATTTGATTTTTTCCTTTAAAAAAAATGTTGTTCAAGTAAGTACAGTTGTCTCCATTTTCACCCCATCACAGCCTCCCACTCCACCCATTCCCCACCTCCTACCCTGGATGCTACCTCCCTTGGCTTTGTCCATGTTTCCTTTATATATGTTCCTTGATAACCATTTCCCTATTTTCCCCTATTATTCTTCTCCCCCTGCCCCTCTGGTTACTGTCAGTTTGTTCTTTGTTTCAGTGTCACTGATTATATTTTGCTTGCTTATTTGTTTGATTTGTTGATTAGGTTTCACTTATAAGTGAGATCATATGGTATGTGTCTTTCACCATCTGGCTTATTTCACTTAGCATAATACGCTCCAGTAACATCCATCCTGTCATGAAGGGTAGGAGCTCCTTCTTTCTTTCTTCTGCGTAGCATTCCTTTGTGTAAATGTACCACAGGTTTTTGACCCATTCATTTACAGAGGGGTACTTAGGGTGCTTCCAGCACTTGGCTATTATAAATTGTGCTGTTATGAACATTAGGATGCACAGGTTCTTTTGAATTGGTGTTTCAGTATTCTTAGGGTATAATCCCAGCAGTGTTACTGCTGGGTCAAAAGGCAGTACCATTTTTAGTTTTCTGAGGAAATTCCATACTGTTTTCCACAGTGGCTGCACCAGTCTGCCTTCCCACCAACAGTGTACTAGGGTTCCCTTTTCTCCACAACCTCTCCCGCACTTGTTTGTTGATTTGTTTATG